AGGGTGTAGGAAATGATCAAAAAACACGTGAACTATGTGCAGCAATATGGGAAAATAAGGAAGAGCCCTTCTAGTTTCGCTGCTCAAAATCGAGAAACTGACGTACAGCTTGAATTTTCCGCGCCCATCGCCGCGAGACGTTCACGCTGAAAATTTCCCACGCTCATCGGCAGAAGATGCGCGACGACGCGGCAAATTACGATTCTCTTGTCCCCTTCCATGGCTCCCATCAAGCTATAGTAGCACCAGCTTCTGACCATTCAGCAATCTTTTATGTCCTTTCATGTCCAGAATATCAACTTTACAGATCTCTCAAAACATAAACCCTCTACTGCCATGTGTTTCTTTTCGACCATTGCAAATCTGTCCAGCTCTTTCACAAGTTGTCAAGCTTCTACGTGATACGCGTTACATTCCTCGTTTATCGCCACTATATATTACATGTTTATAAATGTTTTTAATATTTATACACAGATGGCGTAGCATATATCAAGCCTAGGTATGTCTATAATTCTGGTTGTAAAAATCATGCAACAGAACACATAGACATAGATTCGGCGCACCAAATCTAAGAACCTTTATACTTCGGTGCGAATACTACATAGTATCGTAGCATAAACAAAAATCAACAAAGAAAACTGAGACCCATCGGATATCTAAGTGACAAGTAAAATACACATGCACAAGCATTTAGCTTGAGCTGTAAAGCTTCACAGTTTACATTATGGAATCTGAGACAAATTGTGTATGATAAGAAAATATCACTCATCAATTGTGGAGTCCTGACCAGGTGGCGCGCACGCGATTCGTAAAACAGAGGTGGTTACAATAAGTTAAGTTTTAATGAATGAATGAACAGAAAAGACGATTGCATGAGCAAAACAATAGTAATAAGAAAAATATGTCCGAAGATCACAGCCGGCTGCACATTTGCATGAAAAACTCACAGAGGAAGAAGTGACATAGTGGGAAATTTCAGAAAATACGCTACAGTATGGCGCATTTCTGATGCTTGCCATGATGAGCATGAGAAGATTCACAATGAGCGGTGACACACATGGTACCCGAAAATGTGGTAGGGCTACGAACAACGGTATCCACAACGACTGCTGAACCTTTTCCAAAAGGTCTTCCACTCGTAAAAGTGCAAACATCTGTTTGATTGTTGTTCAAACGATCACCTTGAAAACAAATGTTGAAACTTGTTTTGTTGAAATAACTGCAGTTCGCAATCACAAATCACTATGAGGTAGCGTTCAGACTTCACGATGACGCGCGTCCATGCACTACTTTGTAAGACGCTCCACTGCCACATACGCGGACGCAGCCGCAGAGGGGAATCGATCGGCGCAGGTCGCTTGTTTTTAAAAGAGTTCACCATAACAGTGGGTAGGCGTTGCCTTCCTACAATGTGGTACACTCCTGTTCTTCTATACTCTCCCAAAACAC